AATACTAGAAAAATATAATAGACACCATACAGCTTTAAAACATGCCATACAACTGATTTGACACACAAACATCTAACAGAGTAGTCTTAAGAAAACCTAAACATTCTGTATGTTGGGTCGTATTTATAGATGGAATGTTGTGTTTCATTGCTTAAGACGAACTGACACTGAATGATTAGAAAAAAAGATTTTTTTCCTAATCATTCAGTGTCAATTCATCTGATACAGGTTAGGGTAATTAAAAGTATGCATTAACTGTATAGTCATTATCATGTTGAACGATGACTGTATGGGGTGTGGCACAGTGGTTAGCACTGTCATCTCACGACAAGTTCAAATATGGCTAGATGGGTCCTTTTTGGTGGAGTGTGCATGCTCCCCTTTGTCTGTGTGAGTGTAAATCTGCTTGATGTTGATGTGTGTTAGCCACCTGACCAGGGTGTACCCTGCCTCCTGTCCTGTGCGGGCGGGATAGGATCCCGCCTATACAGGATAAGTGGGTATAGAAAATAGATGAATGGGTAGATTGGATGGAGATAAAATATCAGTAGTAAGGTTTGGTAAAAAGGTCTATTCTACTTCAACACTTTGTACTGTAGTTCAACACCTGATAGTGAACGCATGCAATATCTTAACATGAAGTTTAAAGTGTGAATAAAATGCATGTGTTTCCACTTTGTATATTTTTTGATGCCTACAAATATCAGCCCTGGAAATAACATACTGGGCTAGTAGCAAAATAGCATCAAATTCACTTTATACATACTATAACACACCATAAGTATATTATTGTAAGTATACAGATAGCATAATAATATGTTTTTATAATATACAAACTTGATTATAAGTGTGACAATATATTCTTGAGCTTATTTTACTCTGTATTCACCTTCATTATTTTCATTTCCTGTGTTTACAGCAGTGAAATTTTATTAGATGTGCTTCTGGCAGATCTACTCTATTTATTCAGTATAAAAAAATTGTGAGGAGGTTGAGATTTTGTTTTCCTGGCTGGCTGCTGTCTTCAGTGAGAGCCTGTGAGGCTGGCTGCCTCTCAGCATGCAGCAGCAGCAGTTGGCCGCCTGTGTGGCGCTGTCCACATTTGTGGTGCTGAAATCAGCACCAGCGCTCTCCCCTCCCTCTCGCTGTCTCTCTTGCTGCCTCTCTACATCTCCCTCTGTCGCCCACCTCCGTTTAGAGCAGATGACTATGATCAATACTCATTTCCTGAGTTTATTTTTCGTATTAATTTATATATATTGTAATGGATTATTTCACCACTCGTATATAAGCGTATAATGCCTGTTGCCAGCGGAGGGATAGTGCATAATTAGAGAGAGAATTAGAGAGAGAGAGGGAGACCGGGAGTAAACGCCTCCCTACACCATCTGCGCTTCCCCTCCCTTTTCGTTTGCTCTACAGACCTCCATACGGGTATTTTCGTTGGCTGCTGACAGAATTATTTATCCGAGGCTTGTGGAGAGCTGTGAAGATGTAATGACGTATGCAGGCTGCATTGGCTTTCTCTGGCCACAGGAAGGCAACGAAGAGCCTTGTCAACCACAAAGGCATGTGCATGCATGCAGGTACATAAAGACAAGAGGACAGATGGATGAACACAAATCATTATATGAGTTATCATATAATGATCAGTCTTCAGTTATTTGTACTAACTCATCTATTATCTACTACTTTCATAGATAATTATTTTATAATATAGTCTACATATATATATATTTGAGAAATTAAATACACATTTTAAATCGTTGCAGTTGATGGTGAGGCTGTTTAATGAATTGTGTAATAATATTTCATATTATAAATCTCAATCACCCGGAAATTTTTATATGGATCTTACTTTTACGTCACTACTCTGTAGACATTTACTGATGCCACGATTGGTGGAAATGGGTATTCTCCGTCCACCAATGACATGCAGAGCTGTACAAAGAGATCTACTCCCTCTCGCCGAGTAGCTTTGGCGTCTTAGCCATTACAATGTTCTGCACAGGAGGAGAGGGATGCATATGCAGACATAAAGCATGACTGTCACTGTTATGTATGAGGACGCATCGACATTGGATCATAGACCTTATATACATAATCAGTTAAGAAGTTTGAGTCGGAGTGAAAAGATATGGGATTTATGGAACGAGGAATAATGTGGAAGAAACTGCCTGTCTTGCAGGTGATTTTGTGGTGGCATCATTTCTTTCTCTTGTGGAGTACAATAGACGGACAGACTCGCTACAGCATCCCGGAGGAACTGAAACAGGGCTCTGTGGTAGGAAATCTAGCCAAAGATTTGGGTTTGGTTGTTTCTGAACTATATCAACGTAAATTGCGGATAACGTCGGAGGCTGGTAAGCAGTATTTTAGTATAGACTTGGGGAAGGGAGAACTGGTGGTGATTGATAGGATAGATAGAGAGGAGCTATGCGGACAAAGACCGTCGTGTTTGTTGCCTTTGGAACTAGTTATAGACAACCCTCTACAGTTACATAGAGTTGAAATTGAAATACAGATACAAACGATAATTCTCCTAGTTTTGTTACTAAGGAGAAAGTGGTGAAAATTGCAGAGCTGGTAAATCCAGGCGCGCGGTTTCCTTTGGAAAGTGCACAGGATTCCGATGTCGGCACTAATTCTGTACGCTCTTACCTCATAAGCAAAAATGATAATTTCAAATTGACTGTTAAAAACCACAAGGATGGAAGAAAAATCCCTGAACTGGTCCTCGAAAAACCGCTTGATCGAGAAAAGCTGCCTGTACACAATCTGATCCTCACTGCTGTAGATGGAGGAGATCCGGTGCGCTCAGGGACATCTGAAATTACAGTTATAGTACTTGATATTAATGATAATGCGCCACAGTTTGAGAGACAGGTATATGAGGCTAATGTCAGCGAAAAGGCAACACCTGGAACTGATATATTGCATGTTAAAGCTACAGATGCAGACGAAGGACTAAACGGAGTAATTGAATATTTTTTTGCAGAGCAAACTACAGATCTGATTTTATCGTTATTTGACATTGAACCTTCTACTGGAGCTATTGTTGTCAAAGGAATTTTAGACCATGAAACTAACTCCTTTCATAGATTTGACATAACTGCCAAAGACAAAGGTAATCCTGAGATGGATGGGCATTGTGGTGTCGAAATTAAAATAGTTGACATTAACGACAATGTTCCTGAAATAATTGTGACGTCCTTAACAACACCTGTTCCAGAAGATTCCGCAACCGGAACAGTTATTGCATTGATAAGTGCAAAAGACCCAGATTCGGGTGACAACGGAAAGGTTACGTTGAGGGTGTCTTCCAAATCCCCGTTCAGGTTAAATCCCTCGTTCTCTAACCATTACTCATTGGTGACAAATGGGCCACTTGACCGTGAAAGAAATGGCCAGTATAGTGTCACAATAAGTGCTACTGATTCTGGAAAACCCCCATTATCGAGTGAAAAAGTAATACTTGTTGAATTGTTAGACGTAAATGACAACCCGCCCGTTTTCTCCCATCCTTCTTATGTCGTTTATGTAAAAGAGAACAATGCTCCTGGGAAGATTTTGTGCTCAGTTTCAGCAAGTGATCCTGATACGGATGCCAACGCGAAGGTCTCCTACTCCATCTTGGACTCTAAAGTGCAGGACGTGTCTGTCTCATCTTATGTTTACATTAACTCAGATAACGGCAGCATCTACAGCATGCACTCGTTTGACTATGAGAAACTGAAGGTGTTTCAGATTCAGGTTCAGGCAAAGGACCAGGGCTCTCCGTCTCTCAGCAGCAACGCCACCGTCCATGTTTTTATCCTGGACCAGAACGACAATGCCCCCGCTGTTATTTACCCCTCCTCCGCTGCCCTGGGCTCCCTCTCTCACCAGAGGATGCCCCGCTCCGCTAAAGCGGGTCACCTGGTCACAAAGGTGACGGCTGTGGACGCTGACTCGGGCCATAACGCCTGGATCTCCTACAGACTGGCGGAGGCCACAGACGCCTCTCTGTTCACTGTCAATCTGTACACAGGGGAGGTGAGGACTAAACGCGCTGCGTCCGAGCAGGACGACTCCTCTCAGAGGCTGCTTATAGAGATCAAGGACGACGGGGAACCGGTCCAGTCCTCCACCGTCACGGTGTCCATCCTGCTGGAGGACGGCCTCCATGAGCCCATCTTAGACCTCCGACAGAAAGCGGCCGAGCCCAGCAAGAAAACTGGGAGAATCACCCTTTATCTGATTCTCTCTCTGGCCTCGGTGTCCGGGCTGTCTCTGCTGACTTTTCTCATCTTAGCGGTTAAATGCATCAGGAACAGCAGAAGCAGCGGTAGTTGCTGCACGAGACGGAGCGACTGTGATGATTACAAGAACCCCAACAGAAACCTGCAGATACAACTCAATACTGACGGACCTATAAAGTACGTGGAGGTCCTGGGAGGAGACATGTTGTCTCAGAGTCAGTCCTTCAGGTCCTGTATGTCTCCGATGTCAGAGTACAGTGATTTCACTTTGATTAAACCCAGCAGCACCACTGACTTTAAGGAGGTGATCAGTGTTCTGGATGCGTCTTTACCCGACAGCACCTGGACCTTTGAGAGCCAGCAGGTGAGCAGAAAACAAAATGCAGATTTTAAGATTTTTATCTATCGTTTTGTTAAAGACTGTGTTTAGAAACAGTTAAATGTGTTGAAAACATTTGTCAATATAGTCTCACATACATTTCCATAGCCATTTCTGAATAGTTTAGCACCGCGATGGTGGATAGCGACCCTTTGTGTAATGCAGCGGTGCTTAAAGGCTTATGATCAAAGTATGTGTGCGGGCGTGTGTTTTCCTCTGTAGTCTTTTCAGAAAAAAAATCGTATTCTGTATGCTTCTTTAAAGTGATTCATTAAAAAAAACTATCACTGTATAGATTGTGATTGAAGTTGCATTGGTCAGGCTTATTGTTTGTTCTTTCTTTCTATATCTTTCTTTCTTTCTCTTTAAAAGAAACTCCCTAATTTTACAGTGATATATGTTACCTTTACATACTTTGACGTGCCATGAGCTTTAAAAATTGTCTTTTGGTTAAAGTGAAGGGGCAAAATGGGAATATATGCTGCCACTTTAAGAGTGTCGATCAGTTTCCCTGTCATTGGATGGTAGATGAGGATACTGTGCACCAATAGGATTCTAAACTGTACAAAGCAATCTTGTCCCTGCCCCCATTCAGCCCCAGTGCTGTAACATTAGAATCCAAAGAGCTAGAGGAGAGACAACAATGAGCTCGTATTTTACAATAGGGCATTTTTATATTTTACCTTACAGCCATGCTCAGTAATTATGGAAATTATTATATTGCAGTAATATCTGCGATGGGTGGATTTCAGCATTGTTCAATGCAATATGTCGATTGGAATTAATGTGTTATAGCGGACTAAGGATGACAAAGAGAATGGGATACCGAGACTGGAGATGGCAGGCGCTTTGGTGGCATCATTTCTTTCTCTTGTGGAGTACAATAAACGGACAAACTCGTTACAGCATCCCGGAGGAACTAAAACAGGGCTCTGTGGTAGGAAATCTAGCCAAAGATCTGGGTTTGGGACTATCTGAGATTTTTGACCGTAAGCTGCGTGTCGCCTCTGAGGCTGGTGAGCAGTATTTCAGTGTGGATGCGGGGAAGGGCGAGCTGGTGGTGAATGACAGAATAGACAGAGAGGCTTTATGCGGACAAAGCGCTAGCTGTGTGTTGCCTCTGCAGGTTGTAATTGAAGACCCATTACAACTTTTTCGTGTTGAGGTAGAAATACAAGACATTAATGATAATGCACCTAGATTTCCATCAAATGATATCACATTGGAGGTGGCGGAATCTACGGGCTTAGGTGTTCGTTTTCCTTTAGAGAGTGCCATAGACCCAGATGTTGGCAGTAATTCATTAAAGTCATACACTCTCAGTAAAGATGAATGTTTTAATATTAGAGTTAAAGAAGTTGCAGGTGGAAGGAAAGTCCCTGAGTTAATTTTATCAAAAAGTTTAGATAGAGAGGTAAAGACTGCTCATAAGCTTCTTTTGACAGCTCTAGATGGAGGCAGCCCAGTAAGATCAGGGACCGCTCAGCTATTTATTACAGTTCTTGACAACAACGATAACGTTCCAGCTTTTGAGAAAACGATGTATAAAGTGTCAATTAGTGAAAATGCTGCAGAAGGTGCATTAATAGTGCAAACAAAAGCGACAGACATGGATGATGGTCAAAACGGGGAGATAGAATACTTATTTGGATCGCACACATCAGATACTGTTCTCTCTGTTTTTAGTATCGATCATATATCGGGAACAATATTTCTTAAAGGAAAACTAGATTTCGAAGCAACTGCAAATTATGAATTAGACATAAGTGCGAAAGATAAAGGCAGCCCGAGAATGGAGGGGCATTGTACTGTGCATGTTGAAGTTTTAGATGTTAACGATAATGCCCCAGAAATAATACTCACCTCTCATTCAAAGCCAGTACGCGAAGACTCGCCTAATGGTACCGTTGTAGCTTTAATTAGTGCTCGAGACCTTGACTCCGGTGACAACGGTAAAATAACTTTACAGCTTCCCAAGAAATCTCAATTTGCTCTGAAACCATCGTTTTCTCATAATTATGCACTGGTTACCAGTGGTGTTTTAGACCGAGAAAATGTCTCCGATTATAATATTGAGATAACAGCCAGTGATTTAGGTTCTCCCTCGCTGTCGAGTAAGAAAATTATACCTGTCAGCATCATCGATGTGAATGACAACCCTCCTGTCTTCACTCAGCCCTCCTATAACGTATATTTAAAAGAGAACGGGGTACCAGGGTCTATACTGTACTCAGTATCAGCATCTGACCTGGATTTTGGTGAAAACGCCAAAATCTCTTACTCTATACTGGACTCTAAAGTGCAGGACGTGTCTGTCTCATCTTATGTTTACATTAACTCAGATAACGGCAGCATCTACAGCATGCACTCGTTTGACTATGAGAAACTGAAGGTGTTTCAGATTCAGGTTCAGGCAAAGGACCAGGGCTCTCCGTCTCTCAGCAGCAACGCCACCGTCCATGTTTTTATCCTGGACCAGAACGACAATGCCCCCGCTGTTATTTACCCCTCCTCCGCTGCCCTGGGCTCCCTCTCTCACCAGAGGATGCCCCGCTCCGCTAAAGCGGGTCACCTGGTCACAAAGGTGACGGCTGTGGACGCTGACTCGGGCCATAACGCCTGGATCTCCTACAGACTGGCGGAGGCCACAGACGCCTCTCTGTTCACTGTCAATCTGTACACAGGGGAGGTGAGGACTAAACGCGCTGCGTCCGAGCAGGACGACTCCTCTCAGAGGCTGCTTATAGAGATCAAGGACGACGGGGAACCGGTCCAGTCCTCCACCGTCACGGTGTCCATCCTGCTGGAGGACGGCCTCCATGAGCCCATCTTAGACCTCCGACAGAAAGCGGCCGAGCCCAGCAAGAAAACTGGGAGAATCACCCTTTATCTGATTCTCTCTCTGGCCTCGGTGTCCGTGCTGTCTCTGCTGACTTTTCTCATCTTAGCGGTTAAATGCATCAGGAACAGCAGAAGCAGCGGTAGTTGCTGCACGAGACGGAGCGACTGTGATGATTACAAGAACCCCAACAGAAACCTGCAGATACAACTCAATACTGACGGACCTATAAAGTACGTGGAGGTCCTGGGAGGAGACATGTTGTCTCAGAGTCAGTCCTTCAGGTCCTGTATGTCTCCGATGTCAGAGTACAGTGATTTCACTTTGATTAAACCCAGCAGCACCACTGACTTTAAGGAGGTGATCAGTGTTCTGGATGCGTCTTTACCCGACAGCACCTGGACCTTTGAGAGCCAGCAGGTGAGCAGAAAACAACCATTGATCTTAATAATTGAAAGAAAACATTGCTATGTTTATTTATTACAGGACATACTCGATCATAGCATAGTGTGATAGTCAATCAACTGTGCAAACTAAAGATATATATCTGTCTCTCTGTCTGCAGTAGGCCATGGGTCGGTTGGTCTGCCTGTTTGCCCTCTTTCCTGTCTGTTTTCATCGTTAGATTTCGCAATGTCTTTTTTAGATTTGATTTGAATGTGAGAAAATCTAAGCCCTTTGCAATAAATGTATTCAGAGACGGTTAAAATAGTGACATGCATCAATGTAGTGTGCACACTCATTTGAACAATTCAGCACCATGAGACTGGACAGCGACTGTGAAATTTAGCCAGGATCATGTAACGTCAGAACATTTTCGATTTATTTACTTTATGCAGTTATATTGACTTTAGATGATTGTTTAATATTTTTGTTGCGTCCACAGTATCTGTGATGAAAAATTTAATTTTATCTTTTAAATTACTTTGGGGCATTGATGGCAAAGTGGTTTTCATGTATCTTCTATGTTTGACACCTATGAGGCTTTCTCATGTATTTGACATTCAGTAATATTTGTCATCATCATTCCACATGAAAGCTTACAAAGGGTATAGATGCTGTCACTTTAAGAGTGTCGATCAGTTTCCCTCTCATTGGATGGTGGAAATGGATGTTGTGCACCAATAGGATTCAGAACTGTACAAAGCAATCTAGTCCCTGCCCCCATGCAGCCTTACCGCTGTAACACTTTGAATGCAAAGGGCTGGAGGAGGGAGACAGCTATGAGCTCACATTTTCTAAGATTTAAACATAAGAACTTTAGCTTACAGTCATGCTCAAACATTGTGGAAATGTTTCTTTGGGGATATTATCTACCATCATGGATTCCAACATCGTTATAAACATGATCTCGATTGGAATTAATGTGTTGTAACGGACCAAGGATAACAAAGAGAATGGGATACCGAGACTGGAGATGGCAGGCGCTTTGGTGGCATCATTTCTTTCTCTTCTGGAGTACAATAAACGGACAAACACGTTACAGCATTCCGGAAGAACTGAAACAGGGCTCTGTGGTAGGAAATCTAGCCAAAGATCTTGGTTTGGGACTAACAGACATGTTTGACCGCAAGATGCGTGTCGCCTCTGAGGCTGGTGAGCAGTATTTCAGTGTGGATGCGGGGAAGGGCGAGCTGGTGGTGAATGACAGAATAGACAGAGAGGCTTTATGCGGACAAAGCGCCAGCTGTGTTCTACCTCTGCAAGTAGTTGTTGAAAATCCTTTGCAGTCGCATCGAATTGAAGTGGAAATAAGAGACACAAATGACAATTCTCCTAGTTTTCTTACACAGGAAATTAATCTTAAAATACCAGAATCAGTTGCAATTGGCAAACGCTTTCCTCTAGAGAGCGCGGAGGACCCTGATGTTGGAAGCAATTCTTTGAAAACTTACTCTCTAAGCAAAAACGAGTATTTTTCTCTAAAATTTAAAGACACTAAAAATGGTAAAGCTGTCCCAGAACTAATGTTAGAAAAGCCATTAGACCGGGAAAAGAATGCACTCCATCAGCTGCTGCTGACAGCATTAGACGGGGGAAACCCGGTCAAATCGGGAACCTGTAAGATTATCATTACAGTACTTGATAATAACGACAATTTTCCATTATTCAATGAAAACGAGTACAAAGTGTCTTTAAAAGAGAACAGCACCAAAGGAACATTTGTGATTAAACTGACAGCTACAGATGCCGATGATGGTCTCAATGGTGAAGTTAAATATTCTTTCGGGTCCCGCACTCCAGACTTTGTGCTATCAACATTTGGAATCAATGATATCACAGGAGAAATTGTATTAAAAGGAGCATTAGATTATGAGACTTCTAAATCATACCTCATCGATATAACTGCTAAAGACAAAGGCACTCCAGAAATGGAGGGCCACTGTCGTGTACAGTTGGACATAGAGGACATAAATGATAATGCTCCAGAAATTGTGCTTACTTCAAAACCCAGTCCTGTACGCGAGGACGCACCAAGTGGCACAGTTGTGGCTTTGATCAGTTCACGAGACGTTGACTCTGGTGATAATGGTAAAGTGAAGTTACAGCTTCCCAAACGTTCTCCTTTCACTCTGAAACCATCGTTCTCTAATAATTACGAACTGGTTACCAGTGGTGCTTTAGACCGAGAGAGTTTCTCAGAGTATACTGTTGAAATAACAGCCACCGATTCAGGCTCTCCTCCTCTCTCTAGTAAGAAAATTATACCTGTCAGCATCACTGATGTGAATGACAACCCTCCTGTCTTCACTCAGCCCTCCTATAATGTATATTTAAAAGAGAACGGGGTACCAGGGTCTATACTGTACTCAGTATCAGCATCTGACCTGGATTTTGGTGAAAACGCCAAAATCTCTTACTCTATACTGGACTCTAAAGTGCAGGACGTGTCTGTCTCATCTTATGTTTACATTAACTCAGATAACGGCAGCATCTACAGCATGCACTCGTTTGACTATGAGAAACTGAAGGTGTTTCAGATTCAGGTTCAGGCAAAGGACCAGGGCTCTCCGTCTCTCAGCAGCAACGCCACCGTCCATGTTTTTATCCTGGACCAGAACGACAATGCCCCCGCTGTTATTTACCCCTCCTCCGCTGCCCTGGGCTCCCTCTCTCACCAGAGGATGCCCCGCTCCGCTAAAGCGGGTCACCTGGTCACAAAGGTGACGGCTGTGGACGCTGACTCGGGCCATAACGCCTGGATCTCCTACAGACTGGCGGAGGCCACAGACGCCTCTCTGTTCACTGTCAATCTGTACACAGGGGAGGTGAGGACTAAACGCGCTGCGTCCGAGCAGGACGACTCCTCTCAGAGGCTGCTTATAGAGATCAAGGACGACGGGGAACCGGTCCAGTCCTCCACCGTCACGGTGTCCATCCTGCTGGAGGACGGCCTCCATGAGCCCATCTTAGACCTCCGACAGAAAGCGGCCGAGCCCAGCAAGAAAACTGGGAGAATCACCCTTTATCTGATTCTCTCTCTGGCCTCGGTGTCCGTGCTGTCTCTGCTGACTTTTCTCATCTTAGCGGTTAAATGCATCAGGAACAGCAGAAGCAGCGGTAGTTGCTGCACGAGACGGAGCGACTGTGATGATTACAAGAACCCCAACAGAAACCTGCAGATACAACTCAATACTGACGGACCTATAAAGTACGTGGAGGTCCTGGGAGGAGACATGTTGTCTCAGAGTCAGTCCTTCAGGTCCTGTATGTCTCCGATGTCAGAGTACAGTGATTTCACTTTGATTAAACCCAGCAGCACCACTGACTTTAAGGAGGTGATCAGTGTTCTGGATGCGTCTTTACCCGACAGCACCTGGACCTTTGAGAGCCAGCAGGTGAGCAGAGAATAAAATAATCTTCTTTATGTCTCCCTTTTTTTGCTTGTCTGTCATCGAGAGAGTTAATTTGATGCATACAAACTGCATTATCTCACTCAGGTTTATATTTTCAAAATTATTTTTTAAGTAATGTTTAATAGAGCAATATGGCTTTCGCTCATGCGTTTTGTTTTATATCCATCGTGTTTCTACACGCGTGTCACTGAACTTTGTGATTGATGTAGGATTCTATCACTTAAGAACATGTGCATTCTTCGGAAATAGCTCGCTAAATATATTAAATAAAGATATTAGCTGCTGTGGAGCTTCATGTGAGCTTCTGTTTTGTGATTGAATAATTGATTCAAACAGGGGCGCACAATTAATCAGGTACAATACATTTTAGTATTTGCGATGTTTCATGGTACTATAACCTATCTGGGCTAATTAAAATTTTAGCATGTACTGAAAGTCTAATGTTCCTTTTAATTTTATTTATTTGAATGTGAAGTTTATTATTAGACACCTTGCAACATTGATTAATTCATAGACATGTGAATGTAGTTATATACCTTGCTGTATGAATGGATTTACAGGAAAGTTAAAATCATGATAATAATTTTAAAGACGAAACATATCTTTCAGTAAACGCATCCAATTTATGTAATTGCTCATTGCAATTAGCATCCCATTGTGCCATTTCATACATTTTTGAAATGCAGTGCTGATGTGTCTGAAACACATTGCTGCATCGATCTTATTGGATGTAGGTTGCATGCTGTGCACCAATGGCATTAGGAGTTGTACAAAGAGATCTACTCCCTCCCCCATCCATCCTCTCCACTGTAGCCACTACATCGCTTTGAGCCCGAGAGGAGAGGAGGATGCGTTTAAACACTCCGATTAAATGATGTACCTTTAATTCGCTTCTCAGTGATGTATAAATATGGGTATTTCTGGAATACGTCATCGTTGATGGATTTTCACATTGACCTCTTTATTCGGAACAATATTTTGATGGGATATAACGTCGTATTGTAAAGGACCGGGGATGACAAAGAGAATGGGATACCGAGACTGGAGATGGCTTACTCTTTGGTGGCATCATTTCTTTCTCTTGTGGAGTACAATAAACGGACAGACTCGTTACAGCATCCCAGAAGAACTGGAACTGGGCTCTATGGTTGGAAATCTAGCCAAAGATCTGGGTTTGGGACTATCTGATATTTTTGACCGTAAATTGCGTGTCGCCTCTGAGGCTGGTGAGCAGTATTTCAGCGTGGATGCGGGGAAGGGCGAGCTGGTGGTGAATGACAGAATAGACAGAGAGGCTTTATGCGGACAAAGCGCTAGCTGTGTGTTGCCTCTGCAAGTAGTAATAGAGAACCCGCTACAGTTACACCGGATAGAAGTGGAAATAAGAGACGTAAATGACAACGCTCCCAGTTTTCTCAAAAACGATCATATAATAGAAATTGCTGAATCCACCGTTGTAGGTGTGCGTTTTCCTTTAGAGAGTGCAGAGGATTCTGATGTAGGAAGTAACGGATTAAAGACTTATACACTAAGCAAAGATGAGTGCTTCACTTTAAAAGTTAAAGAAATTGAAAATGGACGAAAAATTCCAGAATTGGTGTTAAATAAATCATTAGACCGCGAGAAAAAAGCCGTTCACAATTTATTTCTTACTGC